CCTTTTCTTCTTCCACTGTAAACAAATGGGTAAGCTTCGACACTCGATCCCGAGGGCACGTGGCCAAACGTGGAAACCAGTGACAGGTTTTTACGAAAAGGATAGCAATTACTCTCCTCACGGTACATGCAGCCTCAGCGTAAGCGCTCTTTGTCACTACCATCTGACCACTAATTTTCGACCCCACATTAGCAGTCAGTTGTGTGTAAATGGGGTGTTAGTACGTCATCGGTAAATGAATAAACAAGAAAGTAACTAAACGGTACTATCCTCGACAGTGTGAAGCACAGTGCAACTATACTAAAGTCAGTAAAGAACTCGGTGATTGCGGGGTTTTCACCCGAACAGGGTATTTATTCAGCTATGAGACCATAGTTTGCATTTTCTCGCAACTATTTTAGCCAAAGGTCTCAGGTTCATTACAACAAGTAATGATAGAAATAATGAATGTACGAAGTAAGTGTTCCAATCTGAAGTACAAGTTAGTTGACAGTAAGTTCACCGTGGTCAGAGTCCCTAGAACTTCATATACTTCCATAGCCCATTTGCTTGAGCTCATAAAGTTGCTGCTTTTGTCCACAAAAACTACAATAGCACATGTTTTGTAAAGAAGTCGGGCGACAATAATGGTGGATCTATCTAATTATAAGTCTTGTCTCATACCACGGCTTTTAACGCTTAGTAAGTAGGAGAGTTTGATACTCCGCGCAGCCAAATTTTCGAAATTACTTCACTTTGTAAGTGTGTCGTCACTTGGTCTGGAAGTGTGCCGCTGGCTGTAACAGAATCCTGTTTTGTCCGGTTTTGTAAAAGGTATCTACGAGTGGTCCACGGAAGCTTTCACAAGAGGAAGCAGCCGTTTAGAAACCGCCTAAACAGGGAAACTTAGCTTACCAATTTTCAAAACATTGTCCTCACAAACAGTTCAGGTAAGCTACCTTTTCAGTTAGCTAAATGCTTGATAGACAAGTGTTGGGTCATATTGATTTATGTCAGATCATTTTACAGCCTCTGATTAGTCTATTTGTGTGGGACAAGATACATGATCAAATAATGGACAGAAATGATCATCTGAATGGGATGACATCTCCACACTCGCACTTCCCCTAGACGTTGGACTAGTCGTTGACATAGCTACGGTAGCAAATGGTTTACAAACTACATACCGGGTGATATAGGTTTATGTGAAAAGCAGCTTGAAAGTTGCGATGGTTGATTTGGCCGGATCACACATACCGGTTTCGTGTACAGAAAAGAGACGCACTCAGGATCTAACAGCAGCCAAGCACGAGTAGTATGCTAACAAGCCTACGCATGACGAAGAGACAAACCGTGGATTCCGCCCTGGGGCTCTAAATGATGCTTACTCATGCTTGAGTGTAAATGCATAAAAAGTCATTCACCTATTCGAACATTAATCCTTAGTCCCCTTGAATTGTGGTCCCACTGATCGGACTAAGTAACCTTAAGGTCAGTCACGAATAGGCGACGGAATACAAGTATTGGTCCAGGTGGAGCTAAAGATTGTTAAAGACGGAAAAGACATGTTACGCGGTGAGAGGTAATTGGACCTTTAACTCAAGCATTCATCGAATAGTTCCAAACCGGACGCACATAGGACAATCATGTCTAAAGTGCGTATATGCAATTCCCACAGAGAAAGAAGCATATGAAGACTAGAAAGGATTCCTACTTGGTGTATAATTTACTGGTGCTGCTTGTCATTTGAGCACGCTGTAGCTACCCAATGAGATTGCATATTTCGCGCAATGTCGACTGACCATATGTGACTTGGGAAATCACCACACTATGTGAAGTGCAATGCACTGGACCTTCTTGTTCGTTTCTCATTGGCCGCTCTCCAGAGTGGTAGTCTCTTCCGCAGATCCGAATGTTATTTTACGCCACCTATTTATTTATTTAGTTATTATTTCTCGTTGTCACCATTTAGCAGAGCTATCTTAGTTATATGTTAGTTTCCAGTGGGCAGCAGCAAAATCACCCCCGTTCGTTTATGTCCTTGTGTGTATGATCACAATACATTTTACCGTGCTGCTGCATAAATAAACTTGCCTCCATCGTGCAACCTTCCAAGAATGTTGGCTCATGACTGCTGCAAGTATTTGCCTACTGCTGCACTTAGGGTCGCAGGCCACCACGGAACTAATGCACACCATGGTAACGTTGTCGGTTTCAAAACCTTAGGCGCTTCGTTGTTGAGGCAATTTTGTCACTTATCCTTCAAGTAGATCTATACAACAAGCGTGGGAAAGGACAACCAGTCTAAGTCACTTCCGAAAACGCTGCATAGCAATCGTTTTTTCTTGTTTATCGGACAACGCGAATCAGCACTCCTTCATTTATTTGGGCCAGAGATTCGATTTGGGTTGTCCGAAGCTTGTGCGAACGGATTGGGAATACCCAAATGCTAATTGTGAATAGTCAATCGTTGAGTAAGGATGAAGTTGATAATAAAAATCAAGGAGAAACATGAGTTGGCGAGCTTTGTTTTATAAAAGCTGCAATAGAGTATAATCAGAGCAACAACTGTAAGTTTTAAGCACTAGCTGTAAGAATGTTGGATGGTTATTCAAGTTGTGTGCGTTTACTGCTCCCAATAGACCAGAGGTGTCCAAAGTTTTGCATGGATTGCCACATTTAGTGAGGTACAAATATGTCGGGCCATATTCGGTCTGACATTAAGATAATGACAAAAATTACACATGTAGGAAATTAATCCAAGTCTGAATTTATTATTTTATGATGAGGCAGCGCGCCAGTTGAAATGTTAACGCAGGCCGCATTTGGTCCGCGAGCGGACTTTGGACACCCCTGCACTAGACAGTCAAGATTAGGTTAACTAAACGTCCAGCGTCCGAAAGTTCAGTGGTCACTCGGATTCGAATTCCGGTGCCCCGCAGTGCGCATAAGAGAGGATCGATGAAGGCTAGCCGATCTGTGCCAGTGTCACCCTGCACACATTGTGGTTCATCCCGAAAATGCCCATCGTGCGTCCAGTTGTGCTGTCGACTTGTCAGCTCCCCCCTGTCTGTCCACACTCCATAGTGCAGGTTTGCTGGTGCACTGTAGTGCACTAAGTTAGCAGGGGATGTGACCTGCGATGCATACACACACACACACACGTGTGTGCGTAGGCATAACAACCGTTACGCCATAGGCACTGCCTATGAACTAGCTAAGAGCAACTGCAACATGTTGCAGCATGTCATGCATTTGAACAGAACCAATCCAAAATACCATCACCAGTGTACTTCCCGTAAGGGCAGTCAAGTGAACTTATACGCCATCCTTCCTTGGGCGCTGCGCACAACCCATACTTCCCTCATTCTGAATTACACCTCCTGCTGAAATTCAGTTAATCGTGCACTCCTTTCTTGCTGAGTTAAGCCGCTTGTACATCTGTGCGTGGATTTTGTCCTTTTTGGTGCAGCAGGCATTCTTCCGGTCCAGCTGATCATTATGGAGAATGCGTTTGCGAAGGAAATTAATGAAGTCCTGGCTCATTTCAATGTTGATCAGGAGACCGGACTCAGTGATGATCAGGTGGCGAGACATGTTGCAAAGTATGGGCCGAACGGTAAGTATAACCTGGGTAGGTTTGTTACTATATGACAACGTTTGGCTTAAATAACTATACAGTAACAGTACGAAAAGAAAACATTGTGTGGAATCTTGAACACACTTCTGCCTAAATTTCTCGAAGCTTTTATTATGCTACCTCACAGTGAAGTAAAGGTAAGCGGTATGTTGGCTCAGCCAGTGACCATTAAGCAATCTTATTCTCATCATGGTGCTCGTCATCTCAGTAAACAGAAGTGTTTACTGTTGTTTACCTATCCGAGCTCATCAGAAGTAGCCATTTAGTATACCAGAGTAGATACAGCTATTCAGCTAGGGTTTTGGCAAGTGGTTGGGAGGTCAAAATCATTCATTCCGTGGCAAGTTATACCGAATCTACTTTTATGCTTATTGGCGCGGAGGTGCAATCTTTTGTTTTGCAGAATTACCAGCGGAAGAAGCAAAATCGCTATGGATGCTGGTTCTGGAGCAGTTTGACGATCTGCTTGTGAAAATTCTTCTGCTGGCTGCAGTTATTTCGTTTGTAAGTGACGACTCTTTTATTACCGTATGGCTTTCGCACTCTATCGCCATTTGTTTCTTCAGCTGATCACGGTGTGTTAAGAAAAGTGTTCATTTTCAATAGATACCTGTGGCACTATCTACCATGAAGCGTTGATCAGTTTGTCAACCAATTTAGTTATTGTTCAAATCCTCTACCTATGGTTTGGTTCAACTATTCCTACCTGCATACAGCTAAAGTTTGGAGATGTTTGGCCAGTATTCCATGCCGGATCCGCAGCTAGCTAACCTAAATGGTTCTCTTACGGTGGCTCTCTCGTTTGGTTACATTTGAGTTTGGTTACTCAGCTATAGAAAATGCTTTGACAAGTCCATCTGTTTGACTCAGTCAATCATCTTATAAGTTTGTACTACATATGCTAAACAAACTGGCAAAGACTTACAGTGTAGGCAACCAGCAACCGCCACGGCTCAGCCTATGCCGTCTATGTTGCAACAACTATGAAGTTAAGATTTGTGCAACACCGCATGGCCTGAGGCAGGCGAAACAACTGCACAGCACTTCTCTTGGTGTTCAATGATTATCTGACTGGTCCTGGGTTTGACATGTGTAATCACCCGAGCGGCTTATTTGGCGGCTTAACAAGAAACGTCGTGATTTTGTGGATCAACCCTGCACTATGCGAAGCAGCGAACAGGGGAGGCGACATGTCATAGTCAATAGTTTAAACATGTGGCTTACTGCCGTAACCAGAGCTCAGATGACATTAAGCGATTATAGTGTGTGATGATGCGGTCGTATCTCGAGAAATCCAAACAGGACGGGGCGTCACCTAGCGCTCTTCCGGATTTGCACATTCCTTATGTCGGGGTCTATATTTGTCGAAACTATTTGAAGCACAGCTGATGATGTTGCTTGCTTCCGTAGGTTACCTGAGATTTTTCCTTTCCAGGTTCTTGCTCTTTTCGAGGAGTCCGAAGAGTCTATCAGTGCATTTGTGGAACCTTTTGTGATATTGCTCATTTTGGTCGCGAATGCTGTCATTGGAGTCTGGCAGGTAAGTTCGGATGGATGTTGGTCTGGGCGCTTTAAATATTCATTTTACTGACTACGTTTTCATTTGTTGGCATTATTTAACTCATTTGCATCAAATAAAAGCACTTTTTCACTGCGCCCAATTACATAAGGTACTGGGTCATGTAGTTGCGTAGAGTATGCCTCGACCCAAAACAGCATTTTTTTCACACAAAATTGAACTCAGAGATCTTCCAAGTATTGTAGTTGGACGGTAGCGATTCCACTATATTGTGGAAGTGAGGGCTTTTGCAGTTAGCGACCTATTGTCTAAAGCATACCAAACATATAACCAGTAGCGGAGGCATTTCGCGTTACTCTACTATGCGTATTATGAAAATGAACATTTTGTAGACAAGCTGCTCGAGTACATTTAATGCCTTATCGAGTTAACAAAAATACTAACTGCCGTTTGTCTTGTCCCTTCCCAGGAAAGAAATGCCGAGTCGGCCATTGAGGCCTTAAAGGAGTATGAGCCGGAGATAGCTAAGGTTTATCGGAAGAGCCACTATGGTGTGCAGCGGATCAAGGCACGCGAGCTAGTACCCGGGGACATTGTCGAAGTGTCGGGTAAGTTAAGATATTTCAAAGTGTGAGCAATTCATATTGGCGTATTTTGACAGTGTTTCGAAACTATGCTTTCACTCATAACAGTTGGCGAAAGTGGGCATTATACTCCCACTGCTGTGGAGTAGTGCAATCGCTGAATTTTTTGACAAGGTCCTTGGCGTCTGGCCCATCTCAACTCTTTTTCTGCACAATTTCAACCGACTACCACACTGGAGACCCACGCCCGGTTGTGCGTTTTTGTGGTAAATGTCAGACATCACCAAAGCAAATGTTCGTCCTGAGTTGTCAAGTTATGCATTGAAAGAATTTGACAACTTCTCAGGTCGCTTGTCATTGTTAACAGTTCGATGTCTTGCGTCGACACCATTTGCGCACTTCGGGCTAAGTGCCGGTAGAGGATGCTCTTGTCATAGTTTTGAAGGGAGGTTTGCACTTCAAACAAAAAATCGCGGTTATTTTCAGTTGTAGAAATTTGTTTTGGCACACGAACCTAGGACATATCAGATGGTACATACATCAAGTTGATTGTTGTAAACTAGATTAACAACCTGCAGTGTCGGGCTCCACGCAACTACGTCTAGGTGTAGGACAAATTTAAGGATGGAATGCCCTTGGGTCATACAGCTCAAAAAGCCTGAATCTATAGATTGTGTTTCCCGCGACTCAGCTTATGCTCTCGTCGTTCAAAATGAGAAATCGCATCGCAACACTTAGTCAGGTTAGAATGAATCAAGGGAGGCAGAATCAGAGTAAAGAATTCTTTTCGGTAATTCTCATCGGACTCAAACATTACATGACGAGGAGAAAGTGCAAAAATGTGCCGGATTGGGCTGCGTATTGAACAGAATGTTTAATTTTACGGGTACAAATCAATAAACCACGGGGTCATTGGAAGTGGCAAGTATGTACAAGGGAAATCATAGCCGAAGTTGTAGGCCACGGTAGAAGTAAAGGACGTACAAACTCTTTTTGTACGCATAATTCTGGCTTGAGGTGGCGAATGTAGATAGCTTCCGCAATAGACAGAAGATGCATCCGGAATCTGCGCGTGAAACGTTCAGGAACAGTATAGATGACTCTAAAATCATTTTCAGTCCTTACGTGACTGCACTCTAGAAGGTGAGATAAGATGGAACTGTTACTGGACCTAGCTTCGCCTTTGTAAAACCACTTTGGGATGTGTTCGCGAATCCTATGAGATAGGCGCCTCGTGGTATGACCCATGTATCGTGCCCCACAGGAGCAAGAGTAAAGATACACAAGCATTGATCGAGTCACCGGAGGCAGCCTGTCTTTCGGAGGGTTTGCGAATAAAGGCTTGTTGTAAAATACTATGCGTAGGCTAGCCACGAAATGGGTCTTTTCAACAGCGTCTTTCAGGCGTTTGGACACGGCATCAGCCGCATTGTCGCCTTTGAAAGGAATGTGCACAATTAGTTCTTTTGTGGGTACGTTCATCCCCGGTAGTTTTGTCTTTGCGTTCTTTCAAATATTTGGGGATGAATTTATCGCTCTTAGCGCGTCGCCGATTCTCTGCAATTCCTTGGTGATTATGTCCGGGGTGCAAATTCTATGTGCCCGGAACGAAAGAGTGCGGACTAGGTTTCGTTTGTACAGATAGCCAACGCACAGCCGAAAATTCACTATTTAGCCGAATATTAGGTGCTACCCGCCTAAAATCATTGCACTCCAAAAATAACTTAGAATTTATTTGATCGCCTCTCGATAGCCAAAGAGGTAGTGGTTTCGGCTAGCATCCCAGTGCACTCGGGTTCTATGCCTGCTATCCGCATCTGGTGAGAGCAAACAAGTTCGTGACTTGTCCAGGTGTGCAGCTTTTCCAAAGCAGGTAACATCCAGTTTCCATCTGCTTCAACTACGGTCCCAGTGATCGGAATGACCAAGGTTCACTTCGATTTGAAGCACAGTCCACATTGAGATTGTGCGTCGCAGTCGATTCACAAAAAGATGGCTTTAACATATATCTTGTAATCACTAATTAGCCGTTTTGTCTTATTGGGCTCGTCGATCGCGCATCTTCCATCTGATGATGAAGAGCTGGAATCTGTGAAGGAGGTTCTCCATGTTGCTCTCTCCCATCACTGACGCCAAGATGCGTTTTGCGCTTGTTTGAACTCATCAGGAAGAGATGGCACGATGAGAGAGAGAGAGCAACAATGGAACCTTCCACTTCGGCTAAGGTCCCAGTGATCGGGATAGCAGAGGCTGACTTCCAAGTTTACCTAAGTCAAAATTTGGGTTTCGCGTCGCAATCCACGATACACGGCAGGCATTCAAAAACCCAACATTCCACTGGAACCCCGTGATTTTATCTGTACGAGTCTGTGATTTGCAGAAGGGAGCCACGGGGTGTGGCTATAATCGTAACCATGTTCTCGCCGAGACATTGATACTTCCCATCCATGTGCATTTCCAATATGAAGGGACAAGATTGGCCTCTTAAGGCACTAGATCCTTTGCTCAGCCACACACATCTGCTTAATATATAGACTACCTTGGACAATGAGTGCATTCTGGGGAAATGTAGAAATGTGACTTAGAGTAAATTCCAAAGGAGGTTGGTCAGTCGGATTGATGTCACAAATCCAGAATACATAAAGATGCCTTTTATATCCTATCACATCCGAATCCCGGATGAATTAGGTTTGCGACCGTTTTTTGCTGTAACAAGTATTTAAGTCACTGAGCCACAGTCGACAACTGCGATTACCTGACAACTTAGTCGCGGAAGGAGCAGAAATTTCTGTTGGTCAAATCATTCTAAACTATTACAACTGTCAGTACCTTCAGTTCAACCCTCCGCTGGCTATCCACAAGCGCTTATTCCAGTGAGTTGAGCAAGCGTAGAGAATGTTTCTGAGGTCCTGGAGCTCACAAACCAAAACATCTCCTCCGATTTCACGAACTCATTGCAATCAGTAGCGCTACGGATTCTTTGAATCGCTCTGGCAAATGCTGCATTTCCATCGATTGACAGCATTCAGCATTAATTTCATATCTGTTAGTTAGCGCAGAAGCTTCATCCTACTGTTTTACCGAAAGAAACAGTTGCATAAAGCGGTGCTGTAGTGTTCTATCATATCAATGTTAATGCTACAAGTGATCACCGATTGCACTGGTTGACGTACCGGGACGGATCCCTCCGTACGCACGTGTACCGACGGTTGTCGATCAGCACCCAGCCGCACTTCGAGTCTATGCTAGCGGTTGTGTGAACGCTTTCCCCTTATTCCAATTGTCAATCGTTCAATTGAGGAGGGATACTGTGGGTGATGATCATGTGATATTTGCAGGAACAGTGGAGTCACAATCATAACACAGCAACTAGCTAGTAGTGGACTAAATCTTATTAGCCCAGAGCTTTCAAACTTACTCCTCTCGTGAGCGCGCGGGTGACCGGTATGCAGCTGTGAGTTGCAAAGGGCGCAACTGGTTTGCTAATTTGGCTCCTCCATTCATGAGAGGGGTGGATTGTTTCTGCATCACCATGATCACACTAGTGTATCCCTGGTGGTTGGTGTAAACAGAGAAGCACATGGTGGCATTACTGTAGTGCAGATCCTGATCTGGAAAGTAGGGGCACCGTCGTGGCTGTGCGGTGGCAGAAAGTCGTAGGCGCAGTCATCGGATCAACGGGGCTCAAACTTGTTTCGGACTGACGCCAGCTAATTAACTAACTTGTTAGCCTCATTTTTCACTTGCGCTGTGGGGTGTTTCCATTCCATGAGTGTCGCATCAACTCCCATTGAATTAGCTTCTCGGTTGTTTCTTTGTTACCGAGAAGGTGTACAACAGCGGAATTGAAGTCCTCGATATTAAAGACGCAAACTGAAGTCAGCTCCCATTGTCCACTGATTTTAGTCAGCAACCGCTGTTTGTTACTAGGACAGGTGGGCAGATACGAAGGGAATCTGTATCCCGTTCATGATAGAAACCACATCGTCTGACACATTACACATTTTTGGTATGATCCCGGTGACCAGTCCAGACACATTGCGATAGTACGCTGCTGTACAGATACTTTTTGTGAGAGACAGCCAAATTCCTTTGACAATGAACCGTGAGTGTTTTTCTGTCACCTCCATGCCTCATAAAGCAGTGGTAACTCCAAACAGCTTAGCGTAGTTGTGAAACTGCTGGTGTCAGGTTGGTAAGTGCTAGCGAACCCAACATCGGGGCAATTACCTCATGACCTATAGAAGGCTGATTACATCAACCTTTGCGTGGCTGAGCTCTCGTAGTTAAACTAACTCAGAAGACAGGTAAGCGGAGTTAGCCTTGAGGTTTTTCGTTCGTGCGAAGCACAGCAATTTGGCAAATGAAGAGTATGATATGCCTCCCTAACGCAGGAATTAAATACAAACGTTCATTTGTAAAGCGGGAACACCGACACAAAGGGGTTATAATTGCACATCAACTTACCACCGAGATTTAATGCGTTTCAATCTCTTCGATACTATGCACAGCATGTCGAAACACACCCTTGTCGAAAGCCTCCCGACTCTGTTTTTTGGTCAAGTTCTTACCCATCGCTTTGTTTCTATAAAAGATTCACTTCCAACGCAACGCGCGATCGTCGAATTTCTCCTTGCAAACATAGGACTGAGATACATCTACGCGATCCGTGTGCTTTTACTGAAGCTTAAACGTTGTTATAGCAGAGAAGAATGGTTATCAAATCCAGGGCGACCTGACTTAACGCACCCATATTCTGACCTTACTTTTGTTCGGGACGAGGAGGAGTCAAACGAGCAAGCCAGTCGCGCCCTTTGCAACTCACGGCTGCATACCGGTCACACGTGTGCTCACAAGAGAAGATAGTTCGAAAGTTTTGGTCTAGTAAGATTTAGTCCACTACTTGTTACTTACTGTGTTAAGATTGTGACCCCACTGTTCCTGCAAATATCACATGATCAACATCCACAGTATTCCTCCTCAATTGAACGATTGACAATTGGAATAAGGGGAAAGCGTTCACA